AGGCGCCTCATACAATTGAATTGACGCAGTTGTCACACTCTGTGCCGTGTTTTAAAGAGGAACTGGTGAGTCAAACTAGCGCTAGCCTGCGCTGCTCTGTTGGCTCTTTCTTATATTTTTCTGTGTGGGCGCCGAGGCCTATTATTATGAGTATGTTTTTGCTGTGCTCATCCTGCTAAAGTTTGCATACATTAGATAGTTGTTTTGATTATGTGCACTAAGCTAGATTAATATTTGCACTATTGTTTATGATGCATTGATATGAGAATCAGTGCTTTGACTGATTGAATTAATTTATATGAGACATTTTATTATGTAATGATATATTGGTAATTATGAGATATTGCTAATGCTGGTCCAGTTGATGGCGAGCTGCCCCAGGTCCAAAGCCTAGACCCCTCATACTACCCCTATTCTACAGTAGGACATTTGGAACAATAACCACTACGGACATTAAACTGATTATATAGATACAGGTCCTAGCCCAATACTCATATTCATATATGCTGCACTTGCTACTTCCCATTAAAAACCCCAAAGATAAAAAGTATGTTGACACGGACTGCTCTGATTTTATGTGTGGTCTGTGCATGTGTAACTGAGCCTGCATCTGGCACAACATCCAATTAGATCACGTAGATAGTTTTGATTTATCAGCAGCCAACGACATGGAACAAACTGTTAGTCCATGGGTCAGAGACCAACGAGAATGCACCAGCAAAATGATTCCTAACATTATTTTGTTTGCCTACAAAAGTACGTGGAGACCAACAAGAAACAAATCGCGGTCAAAAAGACTCGAGAGGACTCGAAAGTCAAACCGTAGGACTTGGGACTGACTTGAGATTTGTTGGCCTTTGACTTGGACTCGACTCGGGACTTGCCTGTCTTGACTCGTGACTTGACTCGGGACTTGAGGGCAATGAATTGAGACTGACTTGTGACTTGCTAAACAATGACTTTGTCCCACCTCTGCCATGCAGTATCTTAGTGTCCACCGATAGTATTTTCTGGAGGAGAATGCAGTAGTTAGGCCAATGACAAAGTCTGTTAATCCAGGATTTAAATAACATCCAATCAGGAAGCAATGGGGTTGAGAATGGGCGGGGCTAACCAGTGCTCTCTCTTCACAATATTATATACTCCCAAAAGTTTAGCACAGAAATAAACTTAAATAAGACAAAGTTGTATTATGCGTCCTGCGATCTCTCCATTCTCTCTGTAATCAAATCTAGGCTCTGACATTAGGCCCTGGTCCTTCCTCCTGGTGCATCTACCATATGTCCCCAGCTCCAGAGACTCTCAGGGTGTGTGTGTGTGTGTGTTGTTGTTGTTGCAGTGTGTGTCTGTGTTGTTGTGTTGATGTGACGACAGCTGGCCAATGCACCATCTCCTGTCCTCCTATCTTAATAAAGGCTTCAGCTTCAAACAGGTGCAGGAGAAACAGATTTTGTTTTGCATATAAATTTACTTTATTTATTTATCGCCCTAGATTACAACAGCAGTTATGTCGGAGGACATTACAAAGTTGTTCATTACAAGACAGATCAGAGAATCAAACATTTCACCTGTGTCTCCATGGACGCACCTGTTTACCCTCTTTTAAAGCTGGAGTACTTCATATTGAAACCACTAAATTCATTCATTCATTTTCATCCCCTTTATTAGTCCATTTCTGGGTCTGGGAGGTGGTAATCCTCATCCGCCTCTTCCTGATCCTACTGCAGATCTTGGAAGACTTTACTATATTGTGGATTCGCCAACAACAGATTAGAGATTCAAACAGTTCAAACACCGAAATTACAACAATAATAAACACATAGGGAACAGGACCATCACTGTCTTTGGACCCTCCTGCATCAGAAAGGAACCACTCGGGAAAAAATGTATGAGTCAAATGCCATAAACTTTGAACTTCAAGATCAAGATCAGGATCGTTTATTTTTGTCTCCATCAGGAGAGATTTGGTTTGGACCGATGGGTCTGCTGTATAGCACCAACACACGTGCTATACAGTTTCACAAACTCACACATCACGTCCTCAACAGATTCACTGAAACAGGTATGAATGAGTTCTTAGAACGATTAAGTCAGCACCGTGGCACTCTCTACCTCCCAGAGGTAGAGTGCCTCCAAAGTACATGTGTAGGATCAGAGAAGATGCTCCTGGGCTGTCTCCTCAGGGCCTGCACATACAGAAGAGCTCCTCGGGGCGTAGAGGGACAGGGAAATTTGACTCAGGTTGCCAGATCAGCAGACAAATCTAGCTAGGACCATAAAATCTGAATAGACAAGAGTTTTGTCAACAACAAATCTGTAACCAACAACATTTTCACAAAGGCCCCAAAAGAAATCCTTGTTTTATTCCTTATTTTGTTATTAATGATTTGAGAATCATTACAAGATTCTAAAATCTGACTGCAGCTCTGACTGCCACCCCCCAACCCAGTAATGGATTAGGGGAAGAAAATGGATAAAATGGATGGATGGATACAAGACCTTTTTTAGTCCTGCGGCCACATGTGACTTCACCAGTGTGGAGGGCGGGACATCGAAGTGTAAACAATAACAAGATTTAGGGGCTGTAAAATTAGTTTTGAAATTCAAATATCTCGGTTCAACTATTGTTATCAGTTAAAGAAGTATTCGGAAAGAGCATGATTTATTAATGCCTTTTGACATAGGGCCATTTAATGATGATTTGACTTGAAAATCTTACATATTTATATTTTAAACAGTTTTTGTGGGAGGAACAGGTGAAAGCGAAGCGTATACTGGCTCAACCCAAACATCCTCTGGTCGCTGACTTTGTAATGATGCAAAGTTATGATAATTACAATGATGATGATCGTTTTTATGCTACAGCTTGGAAAACAAACCGTTTTTCCAATTATTTTGTGCATCCACTATAAAACTGTTAAACCTTTGTGTATTGTATTGTTTCTAACTTATATTGTACTTTCTGCTGCTGAACTGTGAGTGTGTGTGTTCTGCTTTGAGAATCTGCTCAAATGAATTGCCTTTTGGGATCAAGGAAGTTTTCTGAATCTGAATCTAAACATGATCTTATCGCCCATGTGTACCGCCGCCGCCGCCGCCGCCACCGCCGCTGCCGCCTCGCTGTTCCGACCAAAACAAGAAAACTAATTGTACTTTTGATGTTGTTTATCTTTTATTTCATTCTGTAGCACTTTGAGGTTTTATGGAAATGTAAGGTACAATATGAATGTATGTATTAACCCTTGTATTATGTTAAGGGTCAATTTGACCCATTTCAGTTTTTGAGTTGATCAAAGTACTTGTTATCCTTTCTTTTTCTTGCTGAAATTTGGTGACTTTTCCTCATCTAGGGTCATGAACTGGTGTGTAAAATCTGGACACTTTGATGTGTAGTGGAATGTCTGTGCAGAGTTTGTATACAAAGATGATGTTGCGGGTCATTTTGACCCAGACGCTTTAATGTGGGTAAATAGTTGTTTTGATCCAAAAAAACATTGTATTTTGATTGCCTCTGAGACCCAGAGCCAGGTGTGTGAAGAGAGGGAACTTTCTCACACTTGTCCTTGTCACTGTTCTCATGTCATCTCTTTTGCCTAGCGTACGTCGTACTGGCAACTCATATCCGTCGTCTTTGAGTTGCTGCCCCGCACACATCGACAATCTGGCAAAAATGGGCAACTCCTAGTAGCAGGGCAGTCTGGGGAATAACAGCGCGTACATCGACAGCAACTGGCCTCAACTACAGCGTGTTTTCTGGCATAATCTGTGGAGGGCGCAATACACACAATACAAACATGTTGTTGGAGCACATCGGGTGATATCTCTGGATCTGAGTACAACTAGTTGCCAAAAAGTAGAACACGGGCAACTGACTAAATCCGGAGATCGACTGTTTATTTCCAGTTGTAAGAGCGCTCACATCGACCGATTTCGGCAACTGATCATCTCCATCATCTACTCTCAGTTGCCAAAAGCCGCCTTCAACTAGTTGTCTCCAGTTACTCTGTCCATGTGCGGTAGGCTTTAGACAAACTCACCAAAAATGAGCTCCAGAAGGATGACATCTGAGGAGGCTTTATCACAGATTTTTAACTGGGATAATGATGTAGAAGAGAGATTTCAGAAACAGAGGATTTTTTGAGAGACACAGGACAATGTTATTGCTGATCCAGATTGTCAATTTTCCTACGATAAGGAGGATTCAGAGGACGAATCTTTGGTCAAGGAAAGGGGAAGGGAGGAAGGAAGGTAGGAAGGGAGGAAGGAAGGTAGGAAGGAAAGAAGGGAGACAGGAAGGAAGGAAGGGAATAGAGGAGGATGAACAGAGAGAAGGAAAACAGGATGAGAAAAAGGAAGGAGAAAGCCTGGCAGGAGGAAAGCAGGAGGGAAGTGTCATTTTGACCCGAGAGGAGGACAAGAAGATTAGACAAAATATTTCTTAAATATAGCGTTGGAATTAAAAATGTATTGTATGTCACTTTTCTAAATATTTATATAACCTAAAATAAAGTTGTTATTGGTTTAACCTGTTTTTTTTTGACTGTTTTGAGTGCATTTACACAGTACGGGTCAAAATGACCCCCCAACATAATCAATGTCATTTTTTTTCAACATAATACAAGGGTTAATATTATTATTGTTATTATTATAGCTCTGTTTAGAAGCTATGAGAAGGAGGATTTATGACCGTTTGAGATTGGGTACAGGGTTCATGTTCGAGGCTGCCGAGGAGAGAGCAATGTCTGGTCCTACGTCCCCTCTCTGTCCTCTCTCTGTCCTCCGTCTGTCCCCTCCCTGTCCTCTCTCTATCCTCTCTCAGTCCCCTCTCAGTCCTCTCTCTGTCCTCTCTCAGTCCCCTCTCAGTCCTCTATCTGTCCTCTCACTGTCTTCTCACTGTCCTCTCTCAGTCCTCTCACTGTCCTCTCTCAGTCCTCTCACTGTCTTCTCTCAGTCCTCTCTCTGTCCCCTCTCTGTCCCCTCCCTGTCCTCTCTCAGTCCTCTCACTGTCCTCTCTCAGTCCTCTCACTGTCTTCTCTCAGTCCTCTCTCTGTCCTCTCACTGTCTTCTCCCTGTCCCCTCCATCTCCCAGGGTCCGGTTTCATCCCAAGCGGAGGCTGTAAGATGAGCAGTGGCCCGGGAGGGGAGAGGGGCGGGCGGCCAGGTTTCATCCCAGGGAGGTTGAGGCGTGGTGGGGTGAGGAGTGTCCCTGGGGGCCCCTCTTTGGCTCCAGGTCCTGAGATGGACTGGGACGGACTGGGATGGATGGGTGGATCCGCTGAGTGATGACCGTGTTTCCCTGGAGGCGGAGGCATAGATCACAGCCGGGCGGGAAGACGATAGCTCCGCAGTTAGCATAGAGCTGTTAGCGTAAAGAGGTTAGTGTATGGCTGTTAGAGCTGACAGTGACAGGAGCGACCCAGAAACACAGACTATGACAGATGTAACTGGAGGAGTTTGGAGGAATAATTTTACACTAAAGTCAGATTTTTTCAGTGAAACCTTTCCAGTAAGGGACACAACCTGCAAAACATGATTAAACATGAGGTAATTGCTTGAATTCTCTGTTTTTTAACATGACTGTTAATTCTGACTGTTTGCCAATTTGACAAAGCCATTTAGTCTTAATTTAAGGAATTTTGCATTGTCACTTAGTAAAACAAGATATTTTTGCTCTTGTCCCATTGGCAAATCTAAATGCATTTTTACCAAATTTGAGCAATTTTTGACACTTTTTTTGTCACTTTACCTGCTCATCAGTTTTTGCACACTGTCTGTCGGGTGAACAGGGCAGGGCTGTCCCTTCTGTGGAGAGAGAGACAGTGTTCCACTGCCTCTGGGAGAGTAGGAGGCTCAGTCACATGTTGGACCTGCTGAGGAGCTTATTCAGTTCACTGGGGGCAGTGTTTAATGCACAGGTGTTTGTTGGGGGGTGAGGCACTCAGGAGGTGGGGGCAGCTGCTCAGCTTCCCCATAGGACGGGCCAAGATGGCAGTGTCCGTGAACAGGAGGAGGAAGGTCCAGGACCAGAGTGTCAGGGTTCTGCTGGTCAGGATGGTCCAGGCCAGGCCAGACTCAGGCTGGAGTTTGGGCTCTACAGGCTGAATGGGGATCAGGAAGGCTTTGAGGAGCGCTGGGGGTTCAGGGCAGCCGCCTCTGGAGGGACGGAAAGCTGCACTTCTCTGCTTTTTAATCTTTGTAGTTATGAAAAACATGTGAATTTAACTGAGCATATGAAAGGCATTGTCTAAATATTGCACAGTTTTGCACATTTGCAATGATTGACCTGTTTTAATGGATAAATAAAGGTCTGTTAAAAATAAATCTCTCTCCTTTCTCTCTCTCATGTATCTCCTCAATTCTCTAGCCTCCTCTCCCTGCTCTCCTCTCTCATTTCCTCTCCTCTCTCTCTTCTCCTCTCCTTTCCTCTCTTCTCTCCTCTCCCTCCTCTTTCCTCTTCTCTCCTATTTCTTCTCCCTCTCTCCTCTCCTCTTTCATCTATGGAGACACAAGGAGAACATGCAAACCCACTGATGATTTAAACTAATGCATATGAAATAAAACCCATCAGTCCCTCGCTCTCAAAAGTTGCTTCTATCACTAGCTTCATGTATTTCTGGTCTCTGTCACATAATCATCTTTTTCAGACAGAAAAGTGAAACGGAGAGGACCACCCTCACTCAGCCAATCAGCTCTCAAAGAGTCAAATCGTAACTCAGATTTCTCTTTCTTACAAGTTGCCAAAATCAAATACAATACAATACAAAGCTAATAATAATATGAAGACACATTTGTACCTCCTGCGTGAACACAACACGTATTATTTACTGGTGAAATGTTACGTATCCCAGCTTTAAAAGTAGCACAAAAAGTTACTAACATTAAAAAGCTTAAATCTCTCAGTTTCTTTCAACAAACCAAACAGACACAGTTTGACATATATGCACATTCTCTCTCCTCCAAGCCGCCCCAGTCATCGCCGCATTATAATATCGTTAATTTCTGATCATATAACATAATCTGCCGTCCCATAGGCCTGTTGCTATGGAGACCGGGGGATCAATTAGCTCAAGCATGTCTCTTAATCCCGGCTAAATCATAAAGCTCTCTTTAGGATTTAAACTCAATTACAACTCTCTCCTTTTACAGCAGAGCAACTGGAGTAACACGCCCTTCCTCATTCAGACGGTGGCTCTGCTGGGACAAAAGGCAGGATGTACAGTGAGAATAATCCAAGTGGACAAACCGGCATCAAAGCGTTGGCACGGCGCGAGGAAGAGGCTTCTGTGAGCGGATCCTCTCTTTGACAGATTGACAAATGAATGAATGAATCACTGCTAACAACTTCCTCACGCTCCGGATGAAGACAGAGCTGTTTGTGAGTAAAGTGCCGTGACCTGCCGATACAGACACATTACATAACAGGGTTTGGGCAATGATAATAACCTGTGTACCTGTGGCTGTACCTGTAAGCAAGTAAGGAATGTTTGTTTATATACAGTGCCTTGCGAAAGTATTCGGCCCCCTTGAACCTTTCAACATTTCGCCACATTTCAGGCTTCAAACATAAAGATAAAAAAAATATTTTTTTTGTCAAGAATCAACAACAAGTGGGACACAATTGTGAAGTGGAACGAAATTTATTGGATAATTTAAACTTTTTTAACAAATAAAAAACTGAAAAGTGGGGCATGCAATATTATTCGGCCCCTTGCGCTAATACTTTGTAGCGCCACCTTTTGCTGCAATTACAGCTGCAAGTCGCTTGGGGTATGTCTCTATCGGTTTTGCACATTGAGAAACTGGAATACTTGCCCATTCTTCCTTGCAAAACAGCTCGAGCTCAGTGAGGTTGGATGGAGAGCGTTTGTGAACAGCAGTCTTCAGCTCTTTCCGCAGATTCTCGATTGGATTCAGGTCTGGACTTTGACTCGGCCATTCTAACACCTGGATACGTCTATTTGTGAACAATTCCATTGTAGATTTGGCTTTATGTTTTGGATCATTGTCCTGTTGGAAGATAAATCTCCGTCCCAGTCTCAGGTCTTTTGCAGACTCCAACAGGTTTTCTTCCAGAATGGTCCTGTATTTGGCTCCATCCATCTTCCCATCAATTTTAGCCATCTTCCCTGTCCCTGCTGAAGAAAAGCATACCCAAACCATGATGCTGCCACCACCATGTTTGACAGTGGGGATGGTGTGTTCAGGGTGATGAGCTGTGTTGCTTTTACGCCAAACATATCGTTTTGCATTGTGGCCACAAAGTTCAATTTTGGTTTCATCTGACCAGAGCACCTTCTTCCACATGTTTGGTGCGTGTCCCAGGTGGCTTGTGGCAAACTTTAAACGAGACTTTTTATGGATATCTTTGAGAAATGGCTTTCTTCTTGCCACTCTTCCATAAAGGCCAGATTTGTGCAGTGCACGACTGATTGTTGTCCTATGGACAAACTCTCCCACCTCAGCTGTAGTTATCTGCAGTTCATCCAGAGTGATCATGGGCCTCTTGGCTGCATCTCTGATCAGTCTTCTCCTTGTTTGAGATTAAAGTTTGGAGGGACGGCCGGGTCTTGGTAGATTTGCAGTGGTCTGATACTCCTTCCATTTCAATATAATTGCTTGCACAGTGCTCCTTGAGATGTTTAAAGCTTGGGAAATCTTTTTGTATTGGCAAACAACAAAATTCTATTTATCATCATCAGTCATTTAGGACAACATTGGATCATTCAAAGATCCTCACTGAACTTCTGGAGTGAGTTTGCTGCACTGAAAGTAAAGGGGCCGAATAATATTGCACGCCCCACTTTTCAGTTTTTTATTTGTTAAAAAAGTTTAGATTATCCAATAAATTTCGTTCCACTTCATGATTGTGTCCCACTTGTTGTTGATTCATGACAAAAAATTAGGATTTTATATCTTCATGTTTGAAGCCTGAAATGTAGGCGAGATGTTGAAAGGTTCAACGGGGCCGAATACTTTCGCAAGGCACTGTAGTGCATTTTACAAACCCAGAGAGACCGGAGCGAGACGGGAGAGAGACCAGAGAGAGACCAGAGAGAGAACAGAGAGAGACCAGAGAGAGACCAGAGAGAGAGACCAGAGAGAGACCAGAGAGAGACCAGAGAGAGAGAGACCAGAGAGAGACCAGAGAGAGAGACCAGAGAGAGACCAGAGAGAGACCAGAGAGAGACCAGAGAGAGACCAGAGGAAAACAACAGTCAATCAAGGACAGGATTCCAGAGATCCTGAGTAAGTAAGTAATAAGTAAGTAATGTTCATTAACATAGCACATTTTTACAGGTCAAGATCACCCAAAGCACTTTACAATGTTCAGATATTGTTCCATTCTGAGACGCCGAACACACTGGTGCATCAAAACCTCCAACCAAACACCATCCACTCAGCCAATACATTCAGACCCATTGTGCATGTTTTTAGTGGTAGGGGAAACCTACACAGACACATGCAAACTCCACTCAGAAAGACCCTGAAAGGCACTATTCCTTGTGAGTTTTGTATCTTGGCCCTGATTCGTCTGCTCTTCAGAACAGTTACCACGGCAACAGGTCCTGTGCATTTCACTCATGAGAATCTAAAGTATCGCCTGTTGTGTCTTATTTTCTTTGAAAACATTTGGTTTTAGCACAGTTTACTCGAGGTCTCATAAACAAGACGTGGAGGAGAAACCCCTGAGGTGTCTCTGGAGCTGAGGACTCTGGAGGGAGGGACTGGATCTGCGGCCTCAGTCCTGGATCTGAGAAATAACCAAAACTTATGTGGAATACTTTTGTGGAAAGACAATCCAAGAGATTCATCTTCTCCTCTCCCCTCCGTATTGAGTCATCTGTCATTTCTTATAGCTCAGACGCCCCTCAAACCATCGTAGCGCACACGCCCCCCCCCCCCCCCCCCCCCCCCACGACCTGCAGCGAGTCGGCACCATAGGCTGCTGTCTACCTGCCACCTGAAGCCACTTCAAAGAACAGCTGGACCCCCGTAACCCCAGTCCCTCCCATCACCCCCAGACAGAAGCACAAGAAGCCTCTCCCCTGACACCTACTCACAGGCACCCACCAAACACACGTACACACGCATACACAAGCATACATACATGCACTCTACACATATACACAACACTACATACATGCAGTACATACTGTACATACATACACATACACACACTTTCTACAGTGTGAGTGGAAATGCAGAGTGGGGGGTGAGAGGGGAGAACCCTGATAAGGCTTGTGTGTGTGTGTGTGTGTGTGTGTGTGTGTGTGTGTGTGTGTGTGTGTGTGTGTGTGTGTGTGTGTGTGAGAGAGAGAGAGCATCCATTTTGCCTAATGAACTGTTTTTTAACACCTCAGTCACCTTAGAAAAGGGGGGAGAGGAGAGGAGGGAGAACATGACATCGCCGTGCGGGAGAAAGGAGAGGAAGGAGAGAGACCCTAACTGAGACCTGCCCTCAGTTAGGGTCTCTCTCCTTCCTCTCCTCTTCTCCCTCCACTCCTCTCTTCCGCATGGCGATGTCATGTTCTTGTTGCTGAGATTGAGAGCAAAGAAAAGTCTGATCTCTGACCCGAGCGTCTGCAGCCAAGAATCTTCTGACCCAGTCACTAATGTAGTGTAGATGTATTCATGATTACATGTCACAATCACTTGGACTTTTTCAAAAGAGGATCTACAGCCTCAGTCCTGGATCTACAGCCTCAGTCCTGGATCCACAGCCTCAGTCCTGGATCCACAGCCTCAGTCCTGGGTCTACAACATCAGTCCTGGATCTACAGCCTCAGTCCTGGATCCACAGCCTCAGTCCTGGATCCACAGCCTCAGTCCTGGGTCTACACCCTCAGTCCTGGATCCACAGCCTCAGTCCTGGATCTACAGCCTCAGTCCTGGGTCTACAGCCTCAGTCCTGGATCTACAGCCTCAGTCCTGGGTCTACAGCCTCAGTCCTGCATCTACAGCCTCAGTCATCCCGCTCCATATGGACCAACATGGCTCCTATGTGTTTATTACTATTGGATTTCCTGTGTTGGAACTGTTTTGTTGTTGGTGAATGCTCCGAGATGACTTGCCTAAACGGTATTGGAAAACACCAATAAAATATTATAAACAATTGTATTATTGTATGAAACTTTCCAAACACTATCAAGAGTCCTAGTACATTTACTTTTATGACTCAAACAAATAATCTTACACCTCAAAGATCAAAGAAATCGGAACTTCCAACAGTCAGGCTTCAATTTTCCAGGAGGGCGGCGTGCCTTTGAGCCTGACACCTGCCCCTCTCTCCACCTGCAAATCAAAGAGATGGATTCATTTATGCGACATCACAATGACAATCCAACAGTTACAGCTATGTGACTATTACCACTATTTGCATGTTTGTAATATGGTTGTTTTATGAGCTATAAAAGAAGAGGTGACAAGGGCCTCCAGACGTGTGTGTGTGTGTGTGTGTGTGTGTGTGTGTGTGTGTGTGTGTGTGTGTGTGTGTGTGTGTGTGTGTGTGTGTGTGTGTGTGTGTGTGTGTGTGTGTGTGTGTGTGTGTGTGTGTGTGTGTGTGTGTGTGTGTGTGTGTGTGTGTGTGAGAGAGAGAGAGAGAGCATCCTGGGAGAAACACACACTCCCTCCCCTGCTCCAGACGCCCTGGGGCAAAGAAAGAAACGCAAACACCATATGGAAGAGCGGCACACTTATCTACTCACGCAATTGTCCCTGATCTAATCTCTGGCTCCTCTTTGTGGATCCCTCCCCTCTGCTCACGACACCATTCAGAAACCGCTTGGCTGGTCCCAGGTTTAAAGGGGAGGCAATGTGCGTGCTAAAGCTAATGTATATCTATTCAATTCAAATAATTTGTGTATTGATCTAAATCACAACAGTAGTTATTGCGGAGGACTTTACAAAGCTGTGGATTCACCAACAACAGAAAAGAGAATCAAACAAAAACAGGAAATGTGATAATAACAAACACATAGCTTCAGCGTCCATGAGGGAATGTAAAAAGTTTAATGTGCTCTAATTAGGACATAAAAGTTAATTGTAATAAAATTTGTCATGTCAGAGATCTGTTTGATGATAACAGATATCTTTTGGACTTTTCATCATTTTGAGAGCTCCCCTGATGCTAACAATCTTAATTGTGGAAGTTATTATGAAAACCCAAAGAGGAAGCTTTTGTATCGTACTCTCTCTGTGTATAACAATTGTATTTGCAGTAATCATTCGTTTTTACAAACTAATATTGTATGTAAACAATGCAAATATAAATTCAATAAGACATTATATATTTGCTACGGCCCTCGTTTTTGCATCACTTCATGTAAAGTCATTTGTCTTAGGCCTAAATGTGATAACGTTTGTTTACTGATGACAGAGGAACATCTGTAAAATGGAGTTGGACACAGGAGATGTCTGAGGCGTGCTCTTGTTCACTTTTTGAAGTCTTGAAAAGCAAACAGACTGTTACAACTCATTATCAGAGAAGGGTTAAAGTACATCTGACAAATATGTTTTTGATTAAATAAATCACTTTCCATGACACATATTAAATAATAATTCCAGATTCCCCCTGAAGAAGAGGCCGCTGTCTCAGAGACCGCTGTGTCAGAGACCGCTGTCTCAGAGACCGCTGTGTAAGAGGCCGCTGTCTCAGAGACCGCTGTGTCAGAGACCGCTGTCTCAGAGACCGCTGTGTAAGAGACCGCTGTGTCAGAGACCGCTGTGTCAGAGACCGCTGTCTCAGAGACCGCTGTGTCAGAGACCGCTGTCTCAGAGACCGCTGTGTAAGAGACCGCTGTGTCAGAGACCGCTGTGTCAGAGACCGCTGTGTCAGAGACCGCTGTGTCAGAGACCGCTGTGTCAGAGACCGCTGTGTCAGAGACCGCTGTCTCAGAGACCGCTGTGTCAGAGACCGCTGTGTCAGAGACCGCTGTGTCAGAGACCGCTGTGTCAGAGACCGCTGTCTCAGAGACCGCTGTGTCAGAGGCCGCTGTGTCAGAGACCGCTGTGTCAGAGACCGCTGTGTCAGAGACCGCTGTGTCAGAGACCGCTGTGTCAGAGACCGCTGTGTCAGAGACCGCTGTGTCAGAGCCGCTGTGTCAGAGACCGCTGTGTCAGAGACCGCTGTGTCAGAGACCGCTGTGTCAGAGACCGCTGTGTCCTCAGAGACCGCTGTGTCAGAGACCGCTGTGTCAGAGACCGCTGTAGAGACCGCTGTGTCAGAGACCGCTGTGTCAGAGGCCGCTGTGTCAGAGGCCGCTGTGTCAGAGACCGCTGTGTCAGAGACCGCTGTGTCAGAGACCGCTGTGTCAGAGACAGATGCCAAGGACTCTGATGCTGCTGCTGTTACATTTGTTAGTGCTGCTGTATGTATTCAGAACATGTGAGATGCAGAACCCACTGTGTTTCAACTATTCATGACCTAAAATTAATTAAAAAATGAAAATATTATATGTAGGTTTGTGTAGTTCATATTGTAATCCATAGTGAGCAGGAAGTGAAGCTGGAGAAATGTGATTTTGTTGCAGTCAGAGAAAGTCAGAGTTCCTTTCACCAGAAGTCTCTGAAAAAGAACACACAAACATCATACATTAAAACATGTTACATGTTTTAATTTATCATTTGCAACATGTGTCCACAGCGACTAAACTAGACTGGTCCAAAAATATACACTCCCCTCAGCATTGACACACAATGTGGAAGCTAGCTTTGGCCAAGAGCCGACTTTTGACCATCCTGTAAAGCCGTTTTCGAGAGGTAAGAAGATGCTATACATTAGCATTGGCTAATTCTTATTCTGGGTCCAACCCCGCGTCCGTGGCTCGGGAAAAATAAGGCAGCGAAAACCTTCAAACCTGCTCAAAAAGTGTCAGTTTCCATGGAGACAAAGGTAGGATCCCCGCGCTCCCTACCTCGCCAAGGGACACACAAAATCCGACCTTTATGAAAATTGTGGGTTCTCTGTCAGCTGAGGTCGAGCTGTTTTGTTTACATTGAGTTCTACGGGACATTTTTCTGGGTAGCCCACGTGAATGTAGTCTGCAGTACCACGGGCGCCCCCTGTGCCGTGGGTGGGACAGTTATAAGCTAGTAATCCAGTAATCCCTATCCAGTTATTATTATAGATCCAAGTTTTGGACACACCTGTAACCCCTGGCGCATGCGGAAGTGACGTCCCGATTTCCTGTGTTTGAACTGTTTTATTCCTTGTTGTTGTTCTTCTGTTGTGTTTTAGGGCGAGACACGGATACATACTGTAGAACTGAATCTCTCCCTTGTGGCTGACGCTTCTCCTCAGGGTTTGCTGTTGGATCTTCTGCTTCTTCCTGAACTTCCTCTGGGCCACGAGGGATGTGTGTCCCACTGACCCGCGGAGCTCACCTGACACCGGCGCGCCTCGCTGAGCTCCTGCGTCTCCTCCCGTCTGTCCCACCCGTCCCTCTCGTCTCCCGTTCGTCAGTTTCCGCTGCTGCTGATCTGCCTTTTGTCTCTGTGTAAAGAAGCCGACACATGAAAGCCGTGGGACAATGGAAGGTGCGAGCTCCACCTGATACAGCGGCAGAGCCCAGTCCCTGCGGGCGTGAACCAGCAGCAGAGAGAGCCACCTGGTGTGTCAGACACCAGCACTCCCAGAGCCGCCATTCTGACTGCTCAAACCAATCCAACCCATTCAACCCAATGGAACTCTGTGTAGTTTTCCACTGGTTTTATCAAAGGCTAAAGGCTATGGCTAATGCTAATGCTAACTCTTGACAGTAAACAGTTATTGGTACAAGGTAACAAGCACTGGTTCTGCTCTGGTGAAAAACCAAACTGAACCAGGACCAGAAAAGGACCAGTTCAAGACTCGTCCAGACCCAGTCCAGGACCAGTTCAGAACCAGTCGAGATCCACTCCAGGACCAGTCCCGGGGCTCCTCAGAGTGCGAGTTACATATGGCACTAACATGTCACAGATGGACTTTGATACGAGGCCATGGAGAGACAAACATTGTAACAAACAGATCTGCTTTTAAGTCTATTCTCTGAGCCACAGGAAGCAGAGACCTGAGACCAGGACAAAGAGCACTTCCGGAATGGTCTTCATTGAGCTAGTGTGTTAGCCTTGTTCATATACAATCTCAAACTTGAAGCTGTTTGCTCTTATCTTATGTCATGTTGTGGTGACACTTTTCCTCTGAGCTCAGGTTAATCCTTCCTCTGCTCTGACCCCTGACCCCTGTGTGTCTTTGACGTTCTGTGTCTTTGACGCTCTGTGTCTTTGACGTTCTGTTTAATCCACTTCTGATAGACTTTCTCAAGGTTAATAAAGTAGCGACCTCCGATAAAGCACACGTTGTATTCTGTAATAAGTTGTTTTGTAGATAGAACAGTGGTGTGCGAGTGCCTCAGTCTCAGATCAGCTCCCACTGCTCCGCATCACATTGTTCTACACTGCTCTGTGATTGTATCGTCAGACTGAGAGGAAGCAGAAGGAGCAGACACTGTTTATGCACCAGGAAGTAATCTGTGTATATGAACGAGAAAGAACGTATGGCACTTTACTTGACAATAGGATTATTACCACAGACACCGAACATGGAAATTGTAATTGAATACAAATCACCATCTGAGCTTTTGAATCTAATTAAAAGATGTTTGGAAATGATAGAACTTTTCACAATGTGCACTGGTCCCCATAGTCACCACCACCGGTAATAACTGAGAGAGACCAGCGAGCGAGTGACAAGAGAGAGACCAGAGAGGGACCAGACCAACGAAAGAGAGAGACTAAAGAGAGATCAGAGAGTGATGGGGAGAGAGAAACCAGAGAGTCACAAAAGAGAAAGAGAAACTAAAGAGAGACCAGAGAGGCAGAGAGAGACTTGTGTGAGAGTAGCAGACAGGGGATGGAGGGGTTCTCTGTGAATGTTTGATTACATCATTGGTGTGTGATGTCACATGGCTGTTCAGTACAGGGATAGAGTTGTGAGAGAAGGATGCACTGGTGAATGAGACCTCAGTCAGTTTCTACAACTTCAACAGGTTTTTAGGAAGTACTGTTATAAGTCACAGTACAGGAGAAGCTCTGAAAGCATTAGTATTAGCAAAGTCCTTTTACTGCTGTGATTCGACAATGTGAAACTAATAAGATAAGATAACACTTTATTGATCTCGCAATGGAGAAAATTAAATGTCTGATTTGGCATAAATATTAACTGAAATCAATAGAGTATCATTTGTGCAATAAAGTTATTTTATGAACAATTAGTAAGTTGTGTTCATAATTGAAGTGATTGTCTGGAGTTTGTCAGAAAGAGAGACAGAGAGGTACTTGATTTGAAAAAAACGACGCAAGCTCCTCCCCCTTCCTTTCTGATTGGTCTACACCTATATTTCCGTAACACTTTTAAATGTTAATCAGAGAACACATTATACATATACATTATTAATACACATGCACGGAGGTTTTCAGAATTATTTGTTGACGTTTTAATGAAAAAAATAATGTTTCTATGCACAAAAAAAGCGATCGCAGCAAATCCGGAACAAGCTATTATCATGAACTGCACATTATAGAACACATCTGCAGAGGATCTGATTATGGATATAGGTTCAGTATATAAATAGGTAACTCAGCGCGGATGTTCAGAATTATTTGTTCAGTTTTCATGTAATTCCAGAGCCTAATGGAGGCTTGATTCGGAGGTTCCACAAAAACAAACAACTGAGCATGCGCGCAGCCGCGAGCATCAGCCCCGATGATTGACAGCCCTTGGCATGACTCGATTGGTTAACGTGGACGGCATCGTGGATTCTGAGTAGAGCCCTGCACTTGAGCTCTTGGCCCGAGGGCCCCGACAGCCCGAGGGCCGGGCTTTGGGCCGATGACCGCATAATGACCTCGGACACGGGCCGGGCTCGGGCTCTTAATTTTCAGAGCGGCAGAATACATTTACGAACGCACCCACTGAATATAGCGTTCTATCACGCTGTAGTGTTTGTTGTTCTGTGTAGTGTTGTCATTGACGCCACATAGCGTTACTTACAGGTGTGTTGCAGCATCTGGGCATCATACAGATGCGGCCGTTCACTCTGCACCACTCCGCACACACAGAACTCATTGCAACACATCACTACCATGTATAACTCCGCCCTCTCGCTAAGTCTGCGTTCATATCAGTGCGCGGCACTATATACTACGCTAAAACATTGTTATGGGAGGTTACAAAAAACAAAAAAAAGTCGGTCTTGATGCGGGTTTCAGGCCTGAAAATTCAGAAACCATATCGGGCCGGGCTGGGGCTCCACCCCTTCGGGCCAGGGCCGGGCTCGGGCCCAGATAATAGGCCCGTGCAGGGCTCTAATTCTGAGCTATAGCTCAGAGAAGAGAAAGCGGGACTTGTCCGTAATATTAGAATTAATAAAATGACTAATTTTATATCAACATTTAAGGCCAGGAGGTCAATTTAACACATTTCCTAAAATGTATAATTCATTTAGAGTTCCAGACTATCATTTAAAATATAAAGTTTCGGTTGTATTTTATTTGGACTGGACTTTAATTTCATCATCTTCCTTAATCCTTATTTTCATCATTACATTCCTGCATTTTGGGTCCTTCCTTTGTTTCTCCTTGTGACACAAACTTTAAGAAGAAGAAATTAACTCCTGAACAATATTCATATTATGACCTGTGTTCTCTTGAACACAGGTCCACACCTAATGCAAACAACATTTTACTGGGGTTGAGTCAGTTTGGTGATTTGAATTTACCAACGTTGGTTTAGTGATTTCAGACACATTCTCTTTGGAGTTATGCCACTTCCACACTCTCGCCAAGGTTTGTGTGACTTTTCCATTTAAGGATTATTTAATGTGGCTTTGATAAGTCTGTGACGAGGCCGAGGTCTGCATCAAAACGCTTCCATCACAGAGAACTATGTGCAACACGACAACTATTCTGTGTATTCTGTGTTTTAATTACTGCGTGAGACAGGAATCCAAGGCTGAGCACAGCAGCAGCAGCAGCAGCAGTAACTAGGGATGCCAACTTAAGAACAGAAAAATGAGGGACACTAATTTGGGCGGAGCGGATTGAGTACTTTTTAGTTGTCCTAATTTCTATCTGCACAGAAATCATGGATATCATTGACTACATAGAAATAAAACAAATTCGTAGTCAAACATGAAATGAAATAAACAGGTGCAACTTTTTGGTTGGTTCAGGTCAAGGTCAAGTTTGTCTATTTAGCACATTTTACTGTCACAAAGTGCTTTCCAGACATTACAAAATACAACACACAAATGAAATACAGCATAAAATAAAATACAGGTTCAACATCATAAAAGTTTCATCATTGCTTGAGTTAAAAAGCGCTAGGCCTGTGTCTTAGAGGTCCCATATTACGCAAGCCTGAAATCCGCAACGAATCTCGCAGATGTTTTTTTGCGAGTGACGGTGACACCACCAAAGACTTTTTCAGAACTACAGTTACCTTGAAACGGGACCTACTCAAAAGCTGATCTGGTAACCGTTATTTCCAACATAAAAGACGCTCACAGGAGCTAAATAATTAGGGTCTGATTCCGGATTGAGGACATAAGTAAGTAAGTAAGAAATCTTTATTTATATACTGCCTTTCACAGACCAGAGTCACAAAGCGGTTTACAATTGTTATTTTTGGGCATTTGTCTCTCACTCCACACAGAGATAGGAGCAGGGTCGCCAGTACAGGAGGCGCATGCCAGACCTATTGTACATATTTTTAGTGGTAGGGGAAACCGGAGTACACGGAGGAAACCTACGCAGACATGGGGAGAATATGCAAACTCCACTCAGAAAGGCCCTGGTCCGACCGGGATTCGCACCCAGGACCTTCTTGCTGAGAGGCGAGAGTGCTATCCACTCAGACACCGTGCCGCCCCGTGCCGCCATAGGGCTCTATGTGACGGTTGCCATTGTTGGAAAAAGTTTATTCTCTTGTGTGAAAGGACTGTAACAGCGAAAGCTGTATAGTTAGCTCTTGTTTACCTCTGAACTTAGCGTGATGCTAAATGAGATGCTTCTCATTTCCCCTACGCTCACATAACACGGAGCCACCTAGTTTTATTTGCAATCTGATACATATGCTAACATTAGCATTAGCGCAACTTCTTGTAAACTGTGCAACAATCACTGATGAAATGGCACTAAAGCAACGCACTGCAAACACAATATAAAAGTAAAAGAATACCGCTAGTTTCGCGTCCTAATGTATTAATTTAAACATTAGAATATATTCTAATATTTAATTATAATTTGTTATAGAGCTCCTCAAAGCAGCAGCACTCCATTGACTTGAATGCAATTCTTCCGATCATTTTTTCTTGATAACAGAACTCTCAAACCAATAATGACCGCAGCCCCAATGCAATCTGTTTGTGATTCAGGTGTGAAAAATACTGCCATTACTCTGCAAGTACAAAACGCTGTCAGCGCTTGTCACTGCACACTTGTCTGTGTAGAGAAGCTAGCATATCTATCAATTAACACCATTAAACGTTAATCGGACAATACAGTATACATATACATCCTTAACACACATGCACGGACGATTTCAGAATTGGCTGTCAACGTTTTCATGACAAAAATACGGTTTTAATGTGACAAAAAGCGATTGTGAAAAACCCGGAAGTTACCATGAAACGGCTAGCTAGCTTAGCTGTTACCAGCCTAGCACGTCCCGGTAAAACCTTTGGGAGCTAACTATTATATTTGCAGTCATTAAATACATTTCGAATTATAAGGGTTGTCTAATATTTGTTCAAATATGTATATATTTTTATTTTAGAATGATATTCGAATTTTGAAGTCGAAGCCCTGGTGTTAAGCAGCGCTGTAGAGGCTAGAGGACGCAGGCTGTTCGCCTGGAGAAAGAGCGGCCGCTCAGACTCTACTCAGCACTTTTCACTGCTTGTAATTCTTACACAGCTGAATCAATGACCTCAAGTTTTCAATTAAATGATGTATTATGATACAACTTGTATGTAGTAAAAAGATGTACTATATGTATATAGTGTACGTGACGTGTTACACTGCAAAGTATAGTAACACAGAAATGTAACTGTCGATGATTTTCTCAGCGGATAAAACGGGTACTATATTGTGAGGCGTAGTAATCTGAGGAGCGCTACGTCCGCGCACTAACTTCTCTCCGGAGACTTCTCTCTCGCTCACTTCCGTCAATAGAAGCAGCGTGACTTGTAGTACGGAGAGAAGTTAGTGCGCGGACGTAGCGCTCCTCAGATTACTACGCCTCACAATATAGTACCCGTTTTATCCGCTGAGAAAATCGACAGTTACATTCAGTGTAACACGTCACGTAACTATATACATTTAATAGGGAACACTTGGAAGAGTTTGGTAGCTTCTAGCGGGAGTTACCTTTTGGGTACTATACAGTATACAGAGGAGGCTGCGTCTGTGCTCCCGTTTTTGCTCCGTTTGCATGACAGAGCGCACGGACTAAGACCAGACAGGTACGTATTAACTAGTCTAAGGTAAGGTAAGAACATATGTCAGTATGTAAAAACGGTGAACTATTCCTTTAAGCTGCGA